CTCAGCACGAAGTTACAGCCCTTGATGAGGCACGTGATCTCATCCTCCTTGTCCACCCTGCAGTGAGTCACCCAGTCACTCAGTAAGTCACTCAGTCAGTCAGTCAGACACTCAGTCAGTCACTCAGTCACTCAGTCAGTCACTCAGTCAGTCAGACACTCAGTCAGACACTCAGCACGAAGTTACAGCCCTTGATGAGGCACGCGATCTCATCCTCCTTGTCCACCCTGCAGTGAGTCACCCAGTCACTCAGTAAGTCACTCAGTCAGTCAGTCAGACACTCAGTCAGTCACTCAGTCACTCAGTCAGTCACTCAGTCAGTCAGACACTCAGTCAGACACTCAGCACGAAGTTACAGCCCTTGATGAGGCATGCGATCTCATCCTCCTTGTCCACCCTGCAGTCAGTCACCCAGTCACTCAGTAAGTCATTCAGTCAGTCAGTCAGACACTCAGTCAGTCACTCAGTCACTCAGTCAGTCACTCAGTCACTTAGTCACTCAGTCAGTCACTCAGTCAGTCACTCAGTCACTTAGTCACTCAGTCAGACACCCAGTTAGTCACTCAGTCAGTCACTCAGACACTCAGTCAGTCACTCAGTCACTCAGTCACTCAGTCAGTCACTCAGTCATTCAGTCAGTCAGACACTCAGTCAGTCACTCAGTCACTCAGTCAGACACCCAGTTAGTCACTCAGTCACTCAGTCAGTCAGACACTCAGCACGAAGTTACAGCCCTTGATGAGGCACGCGATCTCATCCTCCTTGTCCACCCTGCAGTCAGTCACCCAGTCACTCAGTCAGTCACCCAGTCACTCAGTAAGTCAGTCAGTCAGTCACTCAGTCAGTCACCCAGTCACTCAGTCAGTCACTCAGTCAGTCAGACACTCAGTCAGACACTCAGCACGAAGTTACAGCCCTTGATGAGGCACGCGATCTCATCCTCCTTGTCCACCCTGCAGTGAGTCACCCAGTCAGTCACTCAGTCACTCAGTCACTCAGTCAGACACCCAGTTAGTCACTCAGTCACTCAGTCACTCAGTAAGTCAGTCAGTCAGTCACTCAGTCAGTCACCCAGTCACTCAGTAAGTCACTCAGTCAGTCACCCAGTCACTCAGTAAGTCACTCAGTCAGTCAGTCACTCAGTCAGTCAGTCAGTAAGTCACTCAGTCAGTCACTCAGTCAGTCAGTCACTCACTCAGTCAGACACTCACTCAGTCAGTCACTCAGTCAGACACCCAGTCAGACACTCAGCACGAAGTTACAGCCCTTGATGAGGCACGCGATCTCATCCTCCTTGTCCACCCTGCAGTCAGTCACCCAGTCACTCAGTAAGTCACTCAGTCAGTCAGTCAGACACTCAGTCAGTCACTCAGTCACTCAGTCAGTCACTCAGTCAGACACTCAGTCAGACACTCAGCACGAAGTTACAGCCCTTGATGAGGCACGTGATCTCATCCTCCTTGTCCACCCTGCAGGGGCAGTCACCCAGTCAGTCAGTCAGTCACTCACTCAGTCAGACACTCACTCAGTCAGTCAGTCACTCACTCAGTCAGACACTCAGTCACTCAGTCAGACACTCAGTCAGTCACACAGTCAGTCACTCAGTCACTCAGTCACTCAATCAGTCAGACACTCAGTCAGACACTCAGCACGAAGTTACAGCCCTTGATGAGGCACGCGATCTCATCCTCCTTGTCCACCCTGCAGTGAGTCACCCAGTCACTCAGTAAGTCACTCAGTCAGTCAGTCAGACACTCAGTCAGTGACTCAGTCATTGAGTCAGTCACTCAGTCAGTCAGACACTCAGTCAGACACCCAGTCAGACACCCAGTCAGTCACTCAGTCAGTCAGTCAGTCAGTCACCCAGTCAGTCACTCAGTCACTCAGTCAGTCAGTCACTCAGTCAGACACTCAGCACGAAGTTACAGCCCTTGATGAGGCATGCGATCTCATCCTCCTTGTCCACCCTGCAGTCAGTCACCCAGTCACTCAGTAAGTCACTCAGTCAGTCAGTCAGACACTCAGTCAGTCACTCAGTCACTCAGTCAGTCAGACACTCAGCACGAAGTTACAGCCCTTGATGAGGCACGTGATCTCATCCTCCTTGTCCACCCTGCAGTCAGTCACCCAGTCACTCAATAAGTCACTCAGTCACTCAGACACTCAGTCAGTCACTCAGTCACTTAGTCACTCAGTCAGTCACTCAGTCAGTCACTCAGTCACCCAGTCACTCAGTAAGTCACTCAGTCAGTCACTCAGACACTCAGTCAGTCACTCAGTCACTCAGTCAGTCACTCAGTCAGTCACTCAGTCACCCAGTCACTCAGTAAGTCACTCAGTCAGACACTCAGTAAGTCACTCAGTCAGTCAGTCAGACACTCAGTCAGTCACTCAGTCACTCAGTCAGTCACTCAGTCAGTCAGACACTCAGTCAGACACTCAGCACGAAGTTACAGCCCTTGATGAGGCACGTGATCTCATCCTCCTTGTCCACCCTGCAGGGGCAGTCACCCAGTCAGTCAGTCAGTCACTCACTCAGTCAGACACTCACTCAGTCAGTCAGTCACTCACTCAGTCAGACACTCAGTCAGTCAGTCACTCAGTCAGTCACCCAGTCAGTCACCCAGTCACTCAGTCAGTCACTCAGTCAGTCAGTCACTCAGTCACTCAGTCAGTCACCCAGTCAGTCACTCAGTCACTCAGTCACTCAATCAGTCAGACACTCAGTCAGACACTCAGCACGAAGTTACAGCCCTTGATGAGGCACGTGATCTCATCCTCCTTGTCCACCCTGCAGTCAGTCACCCAGTCACTCAGTAAGTCACTCAGTCACCCAGTCACTCAGTCACTCAGTCACTCAATCAGTCACTCAGTCAGTCAGACACTCAGTCAGTCACTCAGTCAGACACTCAGTCAGTCACTCAGTCACCCAGTTAGTCACTCAGTCACTCAGTCAGTCACTCAGTCAGTCAGACACTCAGTCACACAGTCAGTCAGTCAGTCACTCAGTCACACAGTCAGTCACCCAGTCAGTCACTCAGTCAGTCAGTCAGACACTCAGTCAGTCACTCAGTCAGTCACTCAGTCAGACACTCAGCACGAAGTTACAGCCCTTGATGAGGCACGTGATCTCATCCTCCTTGTCCACCCTGCAGTCAGTCACCCAGTCAGTCAATCAGTCACTCAGTCACCCAGTCAGTCACTCAGTAAGTCACTCAGTCAGTCAGACACTCAGTCAGACACTCAGTCACACAGTCAGTCACTCAGTAAGTCACTCAGTCAGTCACTCAGTCAGTCAGTCACTCAGTCAGTCACTAAGTCAGTCACCCAGTCACTCAGTCACCCAGTCAGTCACTCAGTCAGTCACTCAGTCAGTCAGTCACTCAGTCAGTCACCCAGTCAGACACTCAGTTAGACACTCAGTCAGACACTCAGTCAGTCACTCAGTCAGTCAGTCAGTCACTCAGTCAGTCACTGAGTCAGTCAGTCAGTCACTCAGTCAGTCACTCAGTCAGACAGTCAGTCAGTCAGTCACTCAGTCAGACACTCAGTCAGTCAGTCAGTAACTCAGTCAGTCACTCAGTCACTCAGTCAGACACTCAGTCACACACTCAGTCAGTCAGTCAGTAACTCAGTCAGTCACTCAGTCACTCAGACACTCAGTCAGACACTCAGTCAGTCACTCAGTCACCCAGTTAGTCACTCAGTCACTCAGTCAGACACTCAGTCACACACTCAGTCAGTCAGTCAGTAACTCAGTCAGTCACTCAGTCACTCAGACACTCAGTCAGACACTCAGTCAGTCACTCAGTCACCCAGTTAGTCACTCAGTCACTCAGTCAGTCACTCAGTCACCCAGTTAGTCACTCAGTCACTCAGTCAGTCAGACACTCAGTCACCCAGTCAGTCAGTCACTCAGTCAGTCACTCAGTCAGACAGTCACTCACTCAGTCAGACACTCAGTCAGACACTCAGTCAGACACTCAGTCAGTCACTCAGTCACCCAGTCAGTCACCCAGTCAGACACCCAGTCAGTCACTCAGTCAATCACTCAGTCAGTCACTCAGTCAGTAAGTCGCTCAGTCAGTCACTCAGTCAGTCAGTCAGTCACTCAGTCACTCACTCAGTCAGTCACTCGGTCAAACACTCACCCAGTCAGTCACCCACACACTCACCCACCCAGTCACTCGCCCACCCACCCACTCACTCACTCGTCCACCCACTCAGTCACTCGCCCACCCATCCACCCACTCAGTCACTCGCCCACCCATCCACCCACTCACTCACTCGTCCATCCACCCACCCACTCACTCACTCGTCCACCCACCCACCCACTCACTCACTCGTCCACCCACCCACCCACCCACTCACTCACTCGTCCACCCACTCACCCACCCACCCACTCACTCGTCCACCCACTCACCCACCCACTCACCCACCAACCCACCCACCCACCCACTCACTCGTCCACCCACCCACTCACTCACTCACTCGTCCACCCACCCACCCAGTCACTTGCCCACCCACCCACTCACTCACTCGTCCACCCACTCACCCACCCACCCACTCACTCGTCCACCCACCCACTCACTCACCAACCCACCCACCCACCCACTCACTCGTCCACCACACCCACCCACTCACTCGTCCACCACACCCACCCACCCACTCACTCGTCCACCCACCCACTCACTCGTCCACCCACCCACCCACCCACTCACTGACTCGTCCACCCACCCACTCACTCGTCCAACCACCCACCCACTCACTCACTCGTCCACCCACCCACTCACTCACCAACCCACCCACCCACTCACTCACTCGTCCACCCACCCACTCACTCACCAACCCACCCACCCACCCACTCACTCGTCCACCACACCCACCCACTCACTCGTCCACCACACCCACCCACCCACCCACTCACTCGTCCACCCACCCACCACACCCACCCACCACCCCACCCACCACACCACACCCACCCACCACACCCCACCCACCGCAGCCCCAGCTTGCTGTGGATGAGCTCCCGGTATTTGTGAGCTCCGCCGCCGGTGGCTCGGATCGCGCGTCCGTGTGCGGGGGGCAGGGAGAGGTGGGCGCGGATGAAGTCGAGACAAGCCTCAATGTAGGCGTTCTCAAACTTGACGAAGTGCAGCCTGGCGCCCAGCTCGTCCTGCTCCGAGATCTCGTAGAGGGGGCAAGCGGCGTCGCCGTCACCGCCGGTGCGGCCGGAGTCGGCTGCGGTGCCGAGGGAGCGGGGCGACGAGGTGGAGGAGGAGGTGGAGGAGGTGGTGGTGGCGGAGGAGGTCTGCGCCGGGGAGGAGAGGGATGGGATGGGGGGAAGTTGAGGAGGTGATGGGGGAAGAGATGGGGGGTGGGGGGAGGAGGTGGTGGTGGTGGTAGTGGTGGTGGTGGTGGAAGTAGTAGTGGAGGTAGTAGTGGTGGAGGTGGTAGTGGTGGTAGTGGAGGTGGTAGTGGTGGTAGTGGAGGTGGTAGTGGTGGTGGTAGTAGTAGTGGTGGTAGTGGAGGTGGTAGTGGTGGTAGTGGTGGTAGTGGTGGTGGAAGTAGTAGTGGTGGTAGTAGTGGTGGTGGTACTAGTGGTGGTGGTAGTGGAGGTGGTAGTGGTGGTAGTGGAGGTGGTAGTGGTGGTTGTAGTAGGGGTAGTGGTGGTAGTAGTGGTGGTAGTGGTGGTTGTAGTAGGGGTAGTAGTAGTGGTGATAGTGGTAGTAGTAGTAGTGGTGGTAGTAGTGGTAGTAGTAGTGGTAGTAGTAGTGGTGGTAGTAGTGTGGTAGTAGTAGTGGTAGTAGTAGTGGTAGTAGTGTGGTAGTAGTGTAGTAGTAGTAGTGGTAGTGGAGGTAGTGGTAGTAGTAGTAGTGGTGGTAGTAGTAGTAGTAGTGGTGGTAGTAGTAGTAGTAGTGGAGGTAGTGGTGGTGGTAGTGGTGGTAGTAGTGGTGGTAGTAGTAGTGGTAGTAGTGGTGGTAGTAGTGGTGGAGGTAGTAGTGTGGTAGTAGTAGTGGTAGTAGTAGTGGAAGTAGTAGTAGTAGTGGAGGTAGTGGTAGTAGTAGTGTGGTAGTAGTGGCAGTAGTAGTGTGGTAGTAGTAGAGGTAGTGGTAGTAGTAGTGTGGTAGTAGTGGTAGTAGTAGTGTGGTAGTAGTAGAGGTAGTGGTGGTAGTAGTGGTAGTGGAGGTAGTAGTGGAGGTAGTGGTAGTAGTAGTAGTGGTGGTAGTAGTGTGGTAGTGGAGGTGGTAGTGGTGGTGGTGGAGGTGGTAGTGATGGTGGTGGAGGTAGTGGTGGTAGTGGAGGTGGTAGTGGTGGTAGTGGAGGTGGTAGTGGTAGTAGTAGTTGTGGTAGTGGTGGTAGTAGTGGTGGTAGTGGTGGTAGTAGTAGGGGTAGTAGTAGTGGTGATAGTGGTAGTAGTAGTAGTGGTGGTAGTAGTGGTAGTAGTAGTAGTGGTAGTAGTAGTGGTGGTGGAGGTAGTGGAGGTAGTGGTAGTAGTAGTGGTGGTAGTGGTAGTAGTGGTGGTAGTGGTGGTAGTAGTGTGGTAGGAGTAGTGGTAGTAGTAGTGTGGTAGTAGTAGTGGTAGTAGTGGTAGTAGTGTGGTAGTAGTGTAGTAGTAGTAGTGGTAGTGGAGGTAGTGGTGGTGGTAGTGGTAGTAGTAGTGGTAGTAGTGGAGGTAGTGGAGGTAGTGGTGGTGGAGGCAGTGGTAGTAGTAGTGTGGTAGTAGTAGAGGTGGTAATAGTGGTGGTAGTAGTAGTAGTGGTGGTAGTAGTAGTGGTGGTAGTAGTAGTAGTGGAGGTAGTGGTGGTGGTAGTGGTGGTAGTGATGGTAGTAGTAGTAGTGGTGGTAGTAGTGGTGGTAGTAGTGGTGGTAGTAGTGGTGGTAGTAGTAGTAGTGGTGGTAGTAGTAGTGGTGGTAGTAGTAGTGGTAGTAGTAGTGGAAGTAGTAGTAGTAGTGGAGGTAGTGGTAGTAGTAGTGTGGTAGTAGTGGCAGTAGTAGTAGTGTGGTAGTAGTAGAGGTAGTAGTAGTGTGGTAGTAGTGGTAGTAGTAGTGTGGTAGTAGTAGAGGTAGTGGTGGTAGTGGAGGTAGTAGTGGAGGTAGTGGTAGTAGTAGTAGTGGTGGTAGTAGTGTGGTAGTAGTAGTAGAGGTAGTGGTGGTAGTAGTGGTAGTGGAGGTAGTGGTGGTCGTAGTAGTAGAGGTGGTAGTGGTAGTGTGGTAGTAGTAGAGGTGGTAGTGGTAGTAGTGGTAGTGGAGGTAGTAGTAGTAGTGGTGGTAGTAGTGTGGTAGTGGTAGTGGAGGTAGTGGTGGTAGTAGTAGTAGAGGTGGTAGTAGTAGTGTGGTAGTAGTGTAGTGGTAGTAGTAGTGGTGGTAGTGGTGTAGTAGTGTGGTAGTAGTAGTGTGGTAGTAGTAGAGGTGGTAGTGATAGTAGTAGTAGTGGTGGTAGTAGTGGAGGTAGTAGTAGTGGAGGTAGTGGAGGTAGTGGTGGAGGTAGTGGTGGTAGTAGTGGAGGTAGTAGTAGTGGAGGTAGTGGTGGTGGTAGTGGTGGTAGTAGTAGTAGTGGAGGTAGTGGTGGTGCTGAGTACCTCTGTGGAGTTCTCGAAGGAGCGGACACGTGTCACCTTGTGCTGGACCGTGGCGTAGTAGGCCAGCTTCGTCAGGGACCCACCTGGGCAGGCACACAGGGCAAGGCAGGGCCCTGGCTTAGGCCCGGGGGAGGCCATGGGGAAGCGGCCACTTCACTCACCCACCCACTCAGTCACTCAGTCACCCACACACCCACTCAGTCACTCAGTCACCCACACACCCACTCAGTCACTCAGTCACCCACACACCCACTCAGTCACTCAGTCACCCACCCACCCACTCAGTCACTCAGTCACCCACACACCCACTCAGTCACTCAGTCACTCACCCACCCACTCAGTCACTCAGTCACCCACACACCCACTCAGTCACTCAGTCACCCACCCACCCACTCAGTCACTCAGTCACCCACCCACCCACTCACTCACCCACTCAGTCAGTCACTCACCCACCCACTCAGTCACTCAGTCACCCACACACCCACTCACCCACACACCCACTCACCCACCCACTCAGTCAGTCACTCACTCAGTCACTCACTCAGTCACCCACCCACCCACTCACCCACCCACTCAGTCAGTCACTCACTCAGTCACTCACTCAGTCACCCACTCACTCACTCACCCACCAACCCACTCACTCACTCACTCACCCACTCACTCACTCACTCACCCACTCACTCACCCACTCACTCACCCACTCATTCACCCACCCACTCACCCACCCACTCACTCAGTCACCCACCCACCCACTCACCCACCCACTCAGTCAGTCACTCACTCAGTCACTCACTCAGTCACCCACTCACTCACTCACCCACCAACCCACTCACTCACTCACCCACTCACTCACTCACCCACCAACCCACTCACTCACCCACTCACCCACTCACCCACCCACTCAGTCACTCAGTCACCCACCCACCCACTCACCCACCCACTCAGTCACTCAGTCACCCACCCACCCACTCACCCACCCACTCACCCACCCACTCAGTCAGTCACTCACTCAGTCACCCACTCACTCACTCACCCACCAACCCACTCACTCACCCAGTCACTCACTCACCCACCAACCCACTCACTCACTCACCCACTCACCTACTCCCTCGCCCACTCACTCAGCGAGCGAGAGAGACAGAGAGAGAGACAGAGACACAAAGACAGAGAGAGACACAGAGAGAGACACACAGAGACAGAGAGACACAGAGTCAGAGTCAGAGAGACAGAGAGCCACAGAGAGACACAGAGACAGAGACACAGAGAGACACACAGACAGAGAGACACAGAGAGACAGAGAGACACAGAGAGACAATGAGCGAGACACAGAGAGAGACGCAGAGACAGACACAGAGACAGAGAGAGACACAGAGACAGAGAGAGAGACAGAGAGACACAGAAAGAGACACAGAGAGACACAGAGAGAGACACAGAGACACAGAGAGACACAGAGACACAGATACAGAGAGAGACACAGAGACAGAGAGAGAGACAGAGAGAGACACAGAGAGACACAGAGAGAGACACAGAGACAGACACAGAGACAGAGAGAGACACAGAGACAGAGAGAGACAGAGAGACACAGAGACACAGAGAGACACAGAGAGATACACAGAGAGACACAGACACACAGAGAGACACAGAAACACAGAGAGACACAGAGAGACACAGCGAGACAGAGAGACACAGAGACAGAGAGACACACAGACGGAGACACAGAGAGACACATAGAAACAGAGACACAGAGAGACACAGCGAGACAGAGAGAGAGAGACACAGAGAGACACAGAGACAGCGAGACAGACAGAGACAGACAGAGATACACACGGCCAGACACAGAGACAGACAGAGAGAGACACAGAGAGAGAGAGAGACACAGAGACACACAGAGAGACACAGAGACGGACAGAGAGAGACACAGAGACAGAGCGAGACAGACAGAGACAGAAACAGAGACACAGAGACACACAGAGAGACACAGAGACACACAGAGAGACACAGAAAGACAGAGACACAGAGAGACAGAGACACAGACACACAAAGACACATAGAGAGACAGATACACACAGAGAGACACACAGAGAGACAGAGACACAGACACACAGAGAGACAGAGACACACAGAGACACACACACAGAGAGACAGAGACTCAGAGACACACAGAAAGACACAGAGACACACAGAGAGAGAGACACACAGAGACACAGAGACACACAGAGAGACAGAGACACAGAGAGAAAGACACAGAGAGACAGAGACACACAGAGACACACAGAGAGAGAGACAGACACACAGCGAGACACAGAGAGACAGAGACACAGAGAGACACACAGAGAGACACAGAGAGACAGAGACACACAGAGACAGAGAGACACAGCGAGACACACAAAGAGACACACACAGACACACAGAGAGAC